TTCAGGCTTCATCGAAAATACGTTTAAATGTGAGATTGTAGACAAGACATATTTAATTATATTAAAATAATTAGAAATGCCACATCTACTCACTTCTTTATAACTTTCCTTTTCTCTTAACACCTTTTATCGAGAGCTCAACCTCTCCAAAAATACCAACTCTTCAACAATACCTAAGGACGGAATTTTCAGCATTAGTACCTTATTCTCTAACTCTATTATTAACAAATATCTGATTAGCCTTCCATAAACTTCTTCACTTAATCCTTAATCCAAAATCAATATCTAATTGCAATCCTAACTATGATTTTAAACTTCAACTAGTTAGATTTATAACAGTTTTACCTTGGTGAGCTTGAGAATACCAAAATAAATCCAACACCTTAAATTTTAGGAGGAAAAATTAATTTCTTAGAACACATAAGTTCTAGAAATCATAACCGAAAGATTAAGTGTTTTAAATGGCCAAACCTTACCTCCAAATGAACTTAAAATCAAAATCTGACTTCAAATTTGGAATTTGGAGCTTTGAAATTACTTTGGAGGATGAGAGAGTGTGTAGAGAAGGAAGAGAAAAAATGGAGACTAAGTTTAGAAAGAAACTCATTTTAAATATTTTGGGTAAAGTTTGAGGGGTTTAGGGCTTTAAAATGGGGTGAAAAGTCTAATATGTCTTTATTTTTCAAATCTACGATTAAAGTATTGACGCAATTACTAGAAGTATTGATATTTTTCCTTTTTGGGTAAAGATATCAATACATCATGAACATATATCGATATATACTCATCAAGTTGGATTTCTAGGTTTCAAGTATTTATGCTAGATGAACAAGTATCAAGACTTTTGCGCCAGAATGCAGTCTTTAGCCTAAAACCAAGTGTTTTGATGATCTCAAGTCCCGTCCTTTAAGTAAATCATATGGATATTAATTTATATATTTTTCAAGTTTTAAATGTTCAAAATCTTGTTTGAAAAAGTGAATTTACATATTCACCAAGCTAAGTTACGAATTTAACTTTAAGTAAAGGTTGGGTTTCACAACTAGCTAGAATACGTAATTAAAATAACAATTAAATTACAAAACCGTTCCACATATTAGTTTATGACTAAAAGGGCGTAAGAAATAAAATGAAAATCCAAACATTCTAATTTAATATATAAAAGCAAATTTTTATTTTACTATCCATAAAAAATATTCTTTTAATTTTAATTTATAACATGCATAATTTTTATTTATATTTAAATATATATTTATGTTTAAATTTATTTATTATTTTTAATCTCTCAACAAATTTTAACTTTGGACAAAATAATTAACACCCCTTTTAACTTTTGGAATTATGATTGACCATGTATATCTTAACCGTAATTGAAGACAAATCTAATTAGTGATAGACTAATTGATAATTATCAATACTTAAAGATGAACAGTTTTTTTTATATAATTTAATGATTGTTTACCATTTATCTATTTATGGTCTAATGATTTTTTATTATTCACCTTTACAATATAGAAAATCAAAGCTGGAGGAGTGGTAAGTTGAATAAATGGGATCTTTAATAACTTAATTAAATTTGACAAATCTTACTCAACTCGAAATATTTTTTAAAACTTATTTTGAAATATTTTTTCAAAAGTTAATAACTTGAATCCAAGTAAGTCAAATTTAAAATGATTGGAGTAAAAAATAATTTAAATTTAAAATTATTAAAACCCAACTCAACGTGTACTATTGCCACCTTTATTTGACATTCATGAGCTTCTACCACACATCAACACACCACACTGTCGTCCACCATCTAAATTATTTATCTTTTTGTTATACACATGCCCTCAAACTTGAAGATTTTGTGTTCAAATACAAGGGGTCGATGGAATAAATAGATAGATAGATAAGTACAACTCCTTGGATGATCGTCATCCATCAATCCTTTTAATTAAGCAGCGAGTTGTTGAAGTATCCTACACTTATTTGACTGGAATTAGCTGAATTGAGTGGCTCACACCAATCATATAAGCTCATGTTTGGGACAGTTAACGTGCTAAAGGTGGTGGGTTCACAGTTCACATAACTTTTCTCTCAGCTCTACCAGGCCAATCATGATATATGTTGGGGAAATTTACTGTGTATGCGTAGGAATAAGGAGGCAAGGGTTTTGATTGGCTTCCATAGCTCTGGGTTTCATGTGCAATCACATCCCTCCACTGCACTCTCACCTACTTGCCTTGACCATCCAGCTTTCTATCATTTGCAGATGATTATCTTTGGTGGTGGAGCATGGCACATGCCATGCACATGAAAATGATCCAAAATATAATTGCAATTCAAGAATAAAACCAAACAACACTATACCTCCCAGCAATTGGCTATTGGAAATTGACTTTTTCAATTTTTTTTATAGTATATCTTAGGGATGGTAATGGGTACCTTATTATAAGATACGCGCAAATACTTGACCTAGTTTTATAAGATTATGGTACCGTATAATGTGTTTGAAACGGATTCAGGTAATGATTTTACTACTTGAATTGAGTTTGGGTAGGGTTCGGGTACTACTCCTTAGGTACCCGTTACCCGAACTCAATCACCATTTATAAATATTTTATTATGATTTTAATAATTAAATTAAAAATATATAATTTTTACCAACTTTACAAGTAATTCTTTTTGTTAAAAACTAACAAATATATGAAAAGTATTGTTACTCTAATTATTAATATGATGACATTAATATATTTAAATTAAAAAATTATTAGATTGTTAATCATGTTTAAATAATACGAATATCTTATCATATTATAAAGAAATATAATTATTATTATTTTATGTATTTTTAATATAAATATATTAACTTTCTATTTTGTCTTTTAACATTACAAAAATTATAACTTATAAAACTATTAATTATAATACATATACCATCATTTATATAAACTTATAACATATATACTTAAGGAGAGCTTTTGAGATTAGAATAGTTTTCAAACCTAACTATTTTTTTTTAATTTCATGAAATTAAGAACAAATCCATATAGTTAGTTAAATTAATTCATGAAACTATTATTATTAATTGACTTGTAATGTCTTTCAATATATATAGTTTATATATTGTGTTAATTTATAAGAAATATAATTACTATTATATATATATGTGGGTGTGTGTCTGTATATATACTTTAGATATAAACATATTTACTTTCTATTTTGTGTTGATATTACAAAAATTATAACTCATAAAATTATTAATTACAATATATATACCTTTTTTTGTATAAATTTATAACATAAAAATCTAAAGGGAAGTTGTGAGATTAGAATAGTTTGGAAACTTAATTATTTTTTTTAATTTATTGTGATTGAGAATAAACTTATTTAGTTAATAAAATTAATTAATGAAACTATGATTATTAATTGGCTGGTAATGTCTTTTAATATATATACTTTATATACATTGGGTTCATTTACAAGAAACATAATTACTATTATATATATTAAAATACTTTTAGTATATATACATTTTAAATATAAATATATTTACTTTCTATTTTGTGTTAACATTACAAAAATTATTACCAATAAATTTATTAATTATGTTTGAGATATTTAAATTTTATTATTTAAATTTAAATTTTATTATTTGTGTGCTTCAATTAATTTAATTGTTAGTAAATTATACGGAATATATAAGACAAATATTATTATATATGGATACACATTCGGATTTGGGTAATGGGCACCATGAATAGTATTTTAATAATTTTTTTACATAATAAAGTTTTTAAACGAGTTGGAGTTATTATAGGGTATTGGGGATGTATTAGAGTTAGGGTTAGGATAGTAATTTTAAAAAATATTCAAATAGTTAATAGGATTTGAGTAGTTTATCTTTTACAGGGTTCGAGTTTGAATATTTCAAAATTAATAAGTACCTTACTCGTTGACATCCTTAGTATTTCTAAGGCCAGGAATATTATTATATATATAAATGTTTAATTTTATTTAATTTTAATTGATAAATGTATTTTAAATATTAAAATAAAAATATTTAAATATTTAAATAATAAATAATACTATTCTGTATATTATTAATAATAAATATTATTGTATTACTATATTAATAATAAATAAATAAATATTTATGTAATAAATAATACCATTTTATTATTTAAAGAATATATATTTTTTTAGAATTTTAGTATTTAATAAAAATATTACTATTTATTATTAATAATAAATATGATTTGAATATTTTTAATATGTTTAAAAATAGTCTAACAGTTCCGTCAATATCACTATTTTAACAAGAGTGCAAAGTTTTTAAAAAGCCGACGCAAGGAATTTAAAATATCTTTCACAAAATCATCCAAACAACAAAAAATTATCAATTTTTCAAGAAAAGATCAATATTTCAGTGTTCACAATGGAATACTTCACTTGCTGTTAATGAATCATCACAAACACCCCTTCGTCCCTTGAATGATAAATCATCCTAGGGAGCACAATCAGAGGATTAGATTGAAATGAAATCATCATCATAATGAATTCCGTTTTGGGCTTTCGTAGGTTCATCAATTTAGGATGACTATTGGCTTGCTGAATTGGTACATTCAGCTGCAGCTGCACAAACGTTAGGCTAACTAAGACCACACTGTCGAGCCACCAAATACCAATCCATCCACTGGCATAAAATATGGGGAATCAGAGCACAAATCGTAGACGTCACCTCCACTTTTGTCCCAGCCAGCAACAGTTTTGCTTCGGAGCGAGAATTTCCAGTGAACCTGCTATGATCCCAATGGCTTTGCCCATGTTTTCTTTAGCAAGCCAGCAATGCAATCCAACCACAACAGCTTCATTCTATCAAAACATAGGAGACTTGCCGCACTGAAATTCACAAGTGCACAAAAACATAACAGAAATTCATGAAATAAAAGCATATATAAGCGCACAATAAATGAACCAAAATACGTATCCAATACAAGTATAACATATGTCACTCAAGCCTTTTATTTATAAGAACAAGATAAGATCATTAAATTGCCCTTCTCTATATCTTCATCCCAGCTTTTGACATGGAGAATGCTGGTTTCACTCTTCTACTTGTGTGCGCCTTATGGATGTCCTCAGGGGTATGGTCCAGAAACAACGGGCCTGAAAACTGTGATCCAGAAAACATACAAGAAAGATATGAGAGATGGATGGTCCAGCATGGGCGACAGTACAAGGATAAGCAGGAAATGACATTGCGCTTTGGCATTTATAAATCCAATTCTGAATTCATTGACTCTATCAATTCGCAAAACCTATCATTCAAGCTGACTGACAACAAATTTGCAGACATGACAAATGCTGAGTTCAGATCTGCCTATCTGGGTTCCTGGAGCAGAAGATCTCCAAGAGAGAGCGACGACTTCCAGCATGACATGCATTATAATTTGTCAACTTGCATAGACTGGAGAAAGAAAGGTGCTGTAACTCCAATCAAAGACCAAGGCCAATGTGGTATGACTTGTAATGCTATTAATATAATTACATAGAGACTAAATTTTTATTCCTCTGGTCAATTCTACCTAGTTCAAGACATCATATCATTAATACACAGTTTCCAGACTATGATCCTACCATTCGCTTCTTGCACTAAGTAGATCCTCCTGAACCAGAGTTAAAGCGAGGGGAAACATAGAGTGAAAGTAGGAGATCGATGAACAAAAGAAAAGCTGGACTTGTTTTTAAAAAAACTGTATAGAAAAATATGAAGGCCAGGTGGCAGCGACATATATAGACACCACATTTGCACTGTTTACTGCCTCGTCAGCTTTCCGAATTCAATCCGGTTATGATAGAAGGACTAACATTGGATGCTTTAATTACGTTTAGGAGTAGAATTATTAGATTATCCCTTCTATTACCATTACATTGAACCTTACCACTATATGCGTTACTTGTAGCAATTCTTCGCTGGGTTAATGGATGGCTCTCTTTAAAATTTGAATTAATGTCAAACAGGCGTGTTTTAACATCACTTACGTTTCTGATACAGGGAGCTGTTGGGCATTCTCCGCAGTGGCAGCCATAGAAGGGATCAATAAAATTAAAACTGGAAAATTGACATCTCTTTCAGAACAAGAGCTTATTGATTGTGACGTGAACAACGAAAACCAAGGCTGCAAAGGTGGATACATGGAAAAAGCATACGAGTTCATAATAAAGAATGGTGGAATCACCACTGAGGAAAATTATCCATACATCGGAGAAGATGGCATCTGCGACGAAATCAAAGCTAGAAATCGTGCGGTAGCAATAAGTGGATACAAAACAGTGCCTGTAAACAATGAGAGAAGTCTACAAGATGCAGTAGTCCATCAACCTGTATCTGTTGCCATCGACGCTGGAGGGTATGAATTTCAGCTGTATTCTGAAGGTATCTTCACTGGATTTTGTGGAAATCAACTCAACCATGGAGTTACAGTAGTTGGCTATGGAGAAGATGGTGGAAGAAAGTACTGGCTGGTGAAGAATTCGTGGGGCGCCAGCTGGGGTGAATCTGGCTATATAAGGATGCAACGTGACTTCACTGATAAGAGAGGTATTTGCGGCATTGCTATGGAGCCTAGTTACCCTGTTAAGAGTTGAACAGGCTTTTAGGGAATTAGCCTAGGAATTGTTGGACGATGGCTGCTTGCTTCACAGCTCTCTAGATGGTATATTCATGTTGTAATTCAAGTTAAAACTGTGACAGGGATGTAAAAGTAATAAGATTAAAAATTATATGAAGCAGATTACGGAAAACAATTTGGTGCAACAAACACACAACAGGCTTTCCAATCAGGTCCAATGGACGAGATAAACTAAAAGTGAAAGTAATAAGATTAATGGAAACAATAAGGCGTTGACATAAATTAATGGACGGTTTAGTTGAGGAACAAAAGTCTCGTGTCCCTATTTCATGCCTCTATTGGTGCCCTTTTCATATCATTAGGCCAAGCGTGAAGCATCTTTTATTTGTGAACGTGGCTTCCTTGAGTTTGAGTCTATTGCTGTTAACTTTTCAACAGAGGAAACGGGGGGGTGGGGGGTGAGGTCGGGGATGCTTTCTGGATATCTGGTGCTGGATTACCAACCCTTCACGTTACCATCAAACGGGTCTTCTCCGCTGTGGTTAAAAAAAAACATTTCAATGGATGATCTTTTTTCAATTTGGCTTTGAGGCCTCTAATGTCCAAAATTTAGTGTTTCTTACTCACTCTTCCTCTTTCGAAACACCAATTTGTCTCATCATCAGTCTCAACTATTGTGTTTTTTCATAAGATGGATTCCTTTTTCTTTTAGAAATGTGATGAGATAGCAATAGCATATCCCAAAACTCATTCAAAGTATTCACAGAGACCTATATCGGAGGGGTTATTACACTGCAAAAGGCAAAATTCCAGCTCGGAAGTCAGTTTCCCTTTTCTTATTCCTAAAAAATGCAATTTGGTTCGACAGTGAGAGCATTATTGCCGAAGAAAATTACTCGGGAATACATGCAAAAGGTGAGGGAACTCAGATGAACTGTTCCAATGGCATCCAAGCCCTCATGCAAATTATTCACAAGGAAATGTGTGTGAAACAAAAAGAAACAAGAACCACCAGTTTATTTAGAGCTACATTGATTATGGATTCTCAATGTAGCCTTTGAAAGCTTTCAGCCATTCATGACCACCAATTGCTGCATCAATAACATGATGATCACAGCTTAGAGTTACAGACATAAATGAAGCGAACTTGAATTGTTCAAGACTCGAGTCAGGAATGAGCTTTTCTCAGCGGACCCAATAGCAAGATGAATTTCATTACTAAAGGTGACTTGTTTCACACCATAGGACCAGGGGCTGAGCGCCCCAAAAATTTTAAAAATTTCTATATATTACATATATATTTTTTAATGAGCTCTCCAAATAATTTTTTTAAATTATTAATACAAATACAAAATAATAAAATGAACCTACAAATCCATTTAACTTTTACCCTAGTTCTTAAATTTTTCTCAACTCTTTTAAGTTTCTTCATACCTCTTTCTATCTCTTTCTTTTCTCTTTCTCTTCTCTTTTGTCCCTTCATTGTGAATTTATTAAAGACATAAAGTTTTTTTATCTTTCTTTTTCTATTTATATTATTATTATTATTAATTTTTTTAATTCTATTCTATTTAGTCAAATGCCCAAAGTTTCTATAGATTTTGTTCCCCAAATTTCTATGAATCATTAACCATATTCTTTTTCTTTCCTTTTTGTTATGTAGTCCTATCTTTTACTTGTCATGTTCTTTTGTTTTTTTTTTTTGTTATGTGCTCCCAATGATTTTTGTCTTTCAAAATTAAAAAATTATTATATAATTCTCAAATATGAATTGTAAAGTTACATTATTAATTGTTGCTTAAAATTTCACTAATATATCATTTTTTATTAATCCTGATTGTATAAGATTTTTCTTTTTTGTGCTTTACGTTTTATATTTAATTGAAAGGAAATTATCTTTGAGTATTTAGTCTTTAAATAACACTGATTATATAAGAGAAAATTATTAATCTTGTATATTATATTTAATTCTTTATAGTTTATGTATTATTACTTTTCGCCTTTGGCCTCCCAATAAAAGTTGGCTAGCTCCACCCTTGCATAGGACCCATGACTTTTATACTCTTCTCCCCATAACAAACAAGGCATATTAGTCTAAAAGCCACATTACAAAATGCAACGGACCGACGCAACCAAGGAACAAAAACTCACCCACGTCCAGAGGTTCTACACAAAATACTTTACATACCTTAACTTGGAATTTCCCTTAAAGGCCAGTCACTAGATAGAACCCATAAAATAGAAAATGTCTACAGCATGTAGAAACAAGATCACCTAGACTACAATTCAAAACACAACCCTCAACACCAAAACCATTTCATTCAATCCAAAGAAATTCACAAACCAAACCAATCCATCTGATCACAAAAGTACCAACGAGATCCAATCCATCCTTAGTAAGTTCGAAACAACCTTCCCTGTTGAAATAATGGAAACTTACAATAAAATACAAATATGTTTGTCCAAAACACACTGATACTTTCACTCTCAAAGTTTATAGTTTTTTTCTTTCATTTTTGATAATTTATAGTTTACTAAGAATTACAAGAAGAGTACTAGGTATGAGTTTGAGAATGAGAGAAACAGAAAAAAAACTAACAATATATATATATATATATAAAGTTAAAGGAAGAAAGAAAAAAACACTAAATGGAAGAAGTAGAAATAGCTGACGCAGGTCAGTTCAGAAGTTAAAACGAAAACATTTTTCATTTAAAAGTTAATGACAGTAAAGTCTATATCCAAATAAAATGTTAAGAAACAAAAGAATAGACATGTGGTGTTATAATAAGGAGGTACTAATAGAGACACCAAATAAGGGAAGAGGATTTTCATTCTTAATTGAGGGGAATGATCATTACATTCGCCTTATTTTATGTTAAATAGTGATTCTGCTATTTGATTCAAAGAATGGTTATTTAAGGGAATAGCCAATTATCCCTTATTACCCATCCTCTTCTAATGGCTATTCTTGGCTCTTATCCAAGAATAAAAATTACGAGTCTATCTCTCAGGTAGTGGATTGGATGCACAAAAACAAAAAGGGAGGGGTGTTGTTTAAAGTGAACTTTAAAAAGGCCTATGATTGTGTTAGTTGACATTTCTAGAGTTTGGCATGACAAAATGGGGTTCAGCACAAAATGGATAAATTGGATACAGGAGTGTATCACTACAACAAAGTTATCGGTTTTGGTGAATGGATTCAAAATGAAGAGAGGCTTAAGACGGGGATGCCCATCAACTCTTTTTCTATTCAATACTGTGGGGGAGGTTTTGAGTGGTATGCATAGGAAAGCAAAAGTATCAGGCATGTATAAAAGTCTGGTGGTAGGGATCAACAGGGTCTCAATTTAAGGATGTTTAGGATTAAGATGAATATTTGATAACAATATATGGGGATATAAGTAAAGATAAAACTCAAGACTTCATGTACGGCACAAATGGTTTGATGAGATATAGAACACGAGTTTACATGTCAAATATGGATAATTTAAGGGATGAAATTGTGGAAGAGCGCATGTGAAAGCCTATGCAATACACACTAGAGCTACCAAGATGTATCATGACTTGAAGTTTGTGTATTGGTAGCCAGGATTAAAAAAAGACTTGGCAGAATATGTCTCAAAGTGTTACACATGTCAACAAATGAAAACTAAACATCAGAGACCATTTAGGACTATTGCAACCATTATCGATACTCGAGTGAAAATGGAAATATGTAGCAAAAGACTTTATGATGGGTTCACCATAGGCTAAAGGTGCTTATGATGCCATTTGGGTAATAATTGATCAACTAACTAAGTCAGCTCAATTTTTACAGGTCAATACTAAGTGTGGAGCAGCTCGGTATGCCCAAATTTACATTAATAAGATTGTAAAGCTACATGGTGTTCCGATAACGATAGTGTTCAACAGTAGACTGTAGTCTATAAACCAATTTGGAGGAAATTGCAAGGGGTCCTAGGCACAAGATTGGATTTTAATACGGTCTTCCACCTACAAACAGATAGCCAATCCGAGCGCACCATTCGCACGCTTAAGGATATGTTAAGGGTAATTGTGCTTGACTTTGGACTACCAAGGAATCATTATTTGCCTTTAGCTAAGTTTGCTTATAATAATAACCATCAAGACAAGATCGGTATGGCTTTGTATAAATCTTTGTATGGGCAAAGGTGTAAGTCACCTATTGGTTGGTTTGAAGTTGGTGAACTAAAACTTTTAGGGCCAAAAATGATCTAAGAAGTAGAGCAAGGAATCCATGTGATTAGAGATAGTATCCTAACAACTTAAAGTTGCCAAAAGTCCTATGTTGATAACAAGCAAAGGCTTTTGGAATTTCAAGTTGGCAATCATGTTTTTTGAAGATTTCACTAACCAAAAGAGTAAAGAGATTTAAAAAGAAAGGGAAGTTAAGCCTTAGATACATTAGACCTTTTGAGCTATTAAGGTGTGTGGGAGCAATAGCTTATCATTTGGCATTACTGCTTGATTTGTCCAATGTCCATCTGACTATCCATGTGTCCATGCTTAGGAAGTATGTTTTACACCCTTCGCATCTGATACAATATGAAGAAATCCAGTTACAAGATGGACTTAGTTACAAAGAGTAGCCCATAGCCATATTGGATCGCCAAGTAAGACGGCTCCACTGTAAAGATATTGCTACGATGAAAGTATTGTGGCAAAGCCATTCAGTGGAGGAAACCACATGGGAACTCGTGGAGGATGTGAGAGAACTATCCCCACTTTTTTAAGGTTTGATATATGTAATTTAATTGGATGTATATGATTTGAAATTCAGGGATGAATTTCTTATAAGGAGGGGAGAATGTAACACCCTTAATTTTTATGTAAACTAAATATGATTTATGAATATGTGAAGTTTTGAGGTCTTTGATGATATGTTATGTACGCCAAGTGTTTGAGAGTGTATATATCGACACTTGGGCAAAACTTTAAGGAAATATATGATAAATCTCATAGTTTGAGGTCTTGATCAAGGTTTGATGTTATGTTTATAAATTTATATGTGTGGGATTAAGTTTAATTAATGATTTCATGTGAAATATGAACCAAGAATAATACTGAAATGTTAAACTTGGATTTGGGAGTTTTTGGGAAGCTTAGAATTGCCTACAAGGGTGAAAGTATTGATACATACACC